TGCTGCTGCTGCTTTTGGTGTTGCTGCTGCTGCTGCTGGAGTACCACCATCAGCAGCAGCAGCAGCAGCAACATGCTGATGCTCCGCCTCTGTTGTGTAGCGCCAGCGGCAGCAACGAAAATTATTTTTGTTTGCTTCGGGTGACCCCTCAACCAACCTAAACACAAAAAAAAAATAAAAATAAAAATAAAAATAAAAAAATAAAAATAATAAATAAATAAATAAAAAGAAGAATATATAAATAGAAGAAAATAAAATGCATGTACTGCTGCTGCTGCTGCTGCTGCTGCTGCTGCTGCTGCTGCATCTACTGTTGCATCTACTGTTGCATCTACTGCTGCNCTGCTGCAGCAGCACAGCCCCAGCAGCAGAGATCCTTATAGGGTAAGGAGTGCATGCATAGACTATAAAAATTATTTATTTTATTTATTTTATTTATATTATTTATATAATTTATATAATTTATATTATTTATATCTGCGAGAGAAAATAAATATAAAATAAATTTATTTATATTAAGCAGCAACATGTTCTCTGTACACCCCAAAATGAAACGTCCCCATACACCCCAAGATAGATCGTTTATTTGCCTTTCTCTGCAGCAGCAGCAGTTTAGTTCAATAAGAGGGAGAGCTGCTGCTGCTGCTGCTGCTGCTGCACATTGCTGCTGCTGCGCAGCAGAACAAGCCCCCTGGGTACCGCATGCAGCAGCAGCAACACCTCCTGCTGCACCACGCAGCTCCAGCAGCAGCAAGCTGCTGCTTCTGCTGCTGCTGCATCGAGCAGCAACAGCAAACAACCTGCTGCCAGCGGCAGGAAAAAAACAGCAGCAACGCAGCTCGCATGCAGCAGCAGCAACAGCAACCACAGATACATTACAACTCAGCTGCAGCAGCACGCCCCGGCAATGCATGCAACACATATCCACCTCCCCGCTGCTGCTGCTGCTGCTGCTGCTCCTGCTGCTGCTGCTGCTGCTGCTGCTGCAGCATTTGCATGCCTCAACAAAAAACGAAAAAATGTATAAGTTGCCTCCGCTGCCGCCTGCAACGACAATAACAGGTGCTTCTGCTGCTGCTGCTGCTGCTGCTGCTGCTGCTATTGCTCCTTCCCCTGCTGCTGCTGCATCTGCTGCTGCTGCTGCTGCTGCTGCTGNCTGCTGCTGCTGCTGCTGCTGCTGCTGATCCTGCTGCTGTTGCTGCTGCAGCAGGCGCTGCTGCGCAGCAAAAAAAACGAACAAAAGTCGAGGCGTACCGCCACACAGGCGGCAGCATGCAACAGCTGCAGCAGCAGCAGCAGCAGCAGCAACAGCAGCAGCACCAGCAGCAGCACCAGCAGCAGCAGCAGCAGCAGCAGCAGCAGCAGCAAACAACAGGAAACACAGAGGTGTTGGTGTTGTCTCCTCATGGTCTGATTGCTTCTCCTTTTATACACTGCAGCAACTGCTGCTGAACCTAAACCCTAAACCCTAAACCCTAAACCCTAAACCCTAAACCCTAAACTCTAAACCCTAAACCCTAATTCTCTTCGTTCTGCCTACGGTCTAGGGTTTAGGGTTTAGGGTTTTCTCCTGTTTGCTGCTTACCGACGGGTATCATGCATCAGCAGCAACTGCTGCTGCTGCTGCACCTGCACCTGCACCTGCTGCTGCTGCTGCTGCTGCTGCTGCTGCTGCAGCAGGAAGGGGCTGAGAGGGACCGACCAGATGCAGATGCTGCCGTCCCCAGCAGCAGCCAGCAGCAA